AAATATGCATGGTGTGAAAGCTTTTGCAACTGCAGTGAACAAGTTTGATGACTCTAGGAAGAAGGTGGTCACAAAAATGGGTTTTGGAGGGTTATTAAGTATTCCGCTCACTTATGTACCCCGAAAGTTTGTGTACTGGCTGTTGACAAGGGTGATGGCTGATGGTTCCGTAACTTTTGGAGATGAGTCTGTGCTTCCTTTGAGCCCTGTGCAGGTTGAGTACGTACTTGGGATTCCCATGGGGTCGTAGGAATTGTCGTGTAAGATTCCTGAGGACAAGCAGGCAGAGCATAGCCGAATCTTGGAGAAGTTTGGAAAGAAGGAACACATTTCATTAGTATCTGCTTTGGAGGCACTGATTATACAGGATGGGGAAGGTAATGTGTTGCCGTTGTCGGATGAGGAGAAGGCTGATTTCAAGATAGCCTTTCTCATAGCGGCTCTTGGTTGCATACTGTGTGCTACGGCAAACACAAGCTACCTTGGAGTGAAGCTTGTACCGTCGTTGTTGGTTTACGATGAAGCCAATGAGTATGACTGGTGCACTTATGTATTTAAGTGGATGGTTGCATCAGCGAGTTGTTTCCAAAGGAAATTTGCTCGTGATGGATATGTAGCAGGTTGTGGGGGTTGTATCCTTTTTTTGATGGTGAGTAAAATGTTGGTATTGCCACTACATCAAATGATTTTTTTAGTAATGTTATCTAATTTCCTACCGTCTCCCTCTTTGTAGATTTATTATCTAGATCACCTCAGTCGCGTACCAATGAGGTGGGGTGTGAGACCAAGACTGGAGGCATGGTGCCAAGAAAAGATCAATGAGGCGGTTGGCGATGACAAAAAACAATCTGGGATTTCGGGAAATTGCGGGTTAGTATCAGTTTCACTTACTTTTGATGGGAATACATCCCTGCTGAACCTGTTGTGTTTGCTTCAATTTCAGTCGCTGGATGTAGCGTATGGGGAGCCGCATCCGTTGAGTCCTCGGGAGGGTCAAAAGCAAAGGGTGGAAATCATAGAGGTGCAACGGACTACGCGAGAGGTAGACGCAGAGACTATTACGCAGCAGGTATAATCCAAGTCAACGATATTTTCATACGTAGCTCTGTAATGTATAAAAAAAAGTGACATATGCTACGGCAGCTGTTAATAGTTTGTGCTCATGCTTTGTTGAAGGTGTTGGATAAAATAAATCCCGCCATGGTGGCTCTGGTAGATCATAAAATAGGGACTACGCGGGAGGTAGACGCAGAGACTATTACGTAGAAGGTATAATCCAAGTCAACAACATTTTCATACGTAGCTGTGTAATGTATAAAAATAAGTGACATGTGCTATATATGGCAGCTGTTAATAGTTTGTGCTCATGCTTTGTTTAAGGTGTTGGATAAAATAACTCCCGCCATGGTGGCTCTGGTAGATCATAAAATAGTTGATGTTATGAAAGAAATGCATAAGCTGATGTCGCATTGTGTTCACGCCCCTAATGCCTTGGGGGCAAGTAGGGGGCAGGCAATCGAGAGGGATAGGCGAACGGAGAAGGCTGGTGTTGCGCATGAACAACAGGCAGTGTCCAACGTGTTAGGGGCTAAATCCAAGGTGACTGGGGCTAACAGCGGTCCTCCCTCAAACTTAAATGTCTGTTATTCTGATCATGAAGAGGATGATGTGAACGTGGACACTGGACCTGAAACTGTTGTATGCTCGCTTGGGACGAGGGGAACGACTGTCTTGGTTGATGCTCGGTGCATATTGCAAAGGTCATCTTCATCTGATGAGGAAGATGAGTCTGCTGATGGGAGCGTGGTGAAACCTACCGATGCAGCCTTGTCAGCCATGTTCACCAATGTGTCAAACACCCGTCGCCATACAGCGTTGGAGACGCGTCTGCTACAGTTTGTAAAGCAGTGGAAGGACCTAAAGGATCCACTTAGGTATTTCAAAAAAGTGTATTTGAGTGTGAAAAGTCTGTTTATTATGCATTCCTTTTGCAAAGTTTTTGTATTAATTGTAAATTCTAATATTTTTATGTGTATACTTGGTGTTATGATGATGGTTCACCACATAGCTATGGTATGGTGATGATAAAGTGTGATCACATGGAAGCCAGCCAGAGGGATTGCTATGAAGTGGTGCACAATAAATCTCGGGTTTCCACTGACTACGTTAGAATGGCCAGTGTGCTATACACCAAGCAATGGGCCACCAAAGATTTTCTGAACAGAAGCAAGCGTTTTTTGCTTGACCCAAGCTTTTCGGTAAGTCGTTCGCGGTTCATTTCACCATTGGGGTGACACATTTACGTTCACATTCGATGATTATCATGCTTCTTGTTTTTATTGTCTGGATCGTAGAATCGACTGTTGTTGAACGAAGGCAAAGAAGAGGATATTTGTACGAAGTATGCCAAATCTCTCATCAGCGCTAACCTGTCGGATATTCGAGCGGTCAGCAACTTACTCACATAGTCCAATAATATAGCGCAGGTTTAAATGTGTTTTCCATGCATATGCGCTAAAATTGTGCTTACGGCACTGATATGGGCATGTAAACAGGTTTTTGTCCCAGTCCTCGAAGTTCCTCAGGATTCCCCTGGAGATTCGCACTGGTGGTGCTTAGCTTTAGACATGAAGGCTCAACAGTTGTGGCTGATAGATTCCATGTACCCTGCCCCGTTCGACACACATTCCAGGGAGATTGATCTTCTGGTACTAATGATGACTTTCAATTCTAAACAAACATGGTATTTATTGGGACCATTTAGTAGTGTGTAATGTGTTTGTCAAACTACAGCTTAGTGGCTTGGACGTCCTTTTCCACCTCTGTGACCCAGCATGGAAGGTTGGTCACCTACAGTCTTGGACTAAATGCACTGTTGAGATTTTAGACCCAAAGGATAAGTAAGAACTTGTGTTCCCTGGTTTGTTTATTGTGCCAATGACTATCTGCCTACCTTTAAGGTCAGGAAAACGTATCTTCAGCTTTCATGTTGATTGTTGTCCTCTAATATGCAGCTCATACTGCGGTGTTCTTATGCTGGCGTGTATTAAGTTCTTTGCCAGAAGATTCACCACGAGGTTCAGTGTGGTAGGTGGTGTATATATCTGTGTTTTGGTTGAAGATCTCTGGAATGGTTGACTAAAGTGTTTGTTCTGTTCTGTTCTTATAGCGGAAGATTCCTATTGCTCGGGCAGATCTGTTCTTGGACGACGTGCAGTGTGAAGTGAACGAATTGAAAGACTGTCTGGGAGATGCCATTCCAGGGACTAGGAAAATAGCGCGACGACTGTGATATGGGGCCTGACAAACAATTTGAACATTGTCATTTACATTCTATTGTCTTTGTAGGAATATGGTTTCTGCTGTTTGAACTTGATCAGTTTGTATTCTCTGCACTCGATAGTATTCTCAAATACGAGTGTGTTTAAACTGTTTTCGACCATTTATAGTTTTTACAAAGGTAATTAACTTGCTAAGTCTAGTAATATTGGTCGTTTGTAGAGCAAGTAAGAGGAAGATGTGAGGTAATTATTCCTTCTCTTCTTGCTAAGCCTATGTATCCCATGTTGTGTTTTGAGAATGTTTTAGGATAATGACATGGCTTATGCATTGTTGGCTAAAGTCATGTTTAAGGAAGCAAGTTACTATGTTATGCTTATTTTTCTTCTGTGCTTACTGCTGTTATTTTTACATGTTTACATGTTAACATATGAAAATCAGACATACTCAAAGCATCGTCTTTTAAAAAGTATCGTTTTTTGAAATTGACCTCAAGACCTTGAACCGTTGTCTGTAAATCTTGAAAAGGATTACAAGACCTTGGACGTTTGTGTGTATATATATTTGTCGCCTATGAAATTATCTCAAACACAAATGTGATGAGTTTAATTACATGTTTCAAATGCTTAACAGTTTTACAAACCGATGGAAAGAATATGCCCCCGTAATCTGTCTTCATATGCTCAAACAAACGAGCGGCCTGGATATGCTCAAGCTATATTAGTTCATCAAGACGTTTCTGCTTCACCTGTGACAGGTGTGATGGGTTAAATGTGAAATAATCACTGAAGTAAAATCACATGAATTTAGGATTCATACTTACATGTAGCTTCCGAGAAGACATATGTGCCTTCCCCTTCCCCTTTGTTGTCTTCCTAAACACCAGATCCTGCAAACCATTTCCTCCTCAACACCTGCATCCTGCTCCACAACATTTCCTACCATTCCTGCCTTTTCTTGCCTCCTCCGAAACACCAGATCCTGCAACACCATTTCCTCCTCCGACACACCTGCATCCTGCACAACACCATTTCCTGCATCCTCCTCCTCCTCCTCAACACCATTTACTCCATCCTCCTCCTGAACACAGTTTTCTGCATCCTCCTCAACAACATTTCCTACTTGCTCCTGTATGATTTAGATAGAGATATAACAGCAGTCAGAAAATAATAACATGCTCAGCAGTCAGATTCTTTAAGTATTGAAGAAAGCATAAATTCTAACCGGGCTAGGCTTCTTATTCTTGTTGGTTTTCTTGTAGCCGGTTTCAGCTAACGTCTTGTGCCTTGAACCCTTAGGCCTGCCCCTTTTCCTTTTCTTAATTAAAGGGTCTTTGATAACAAGGTCCATGGCAGCTGGACAAGAGTCTACGGCATTAGCATCAGCAGCAGGATTCCTAACTAAGGAAAACGTTCTGCCTTCAGTGGCTGATGACAATGTACTAACTACAGGAACATTTTCCTTACTCTTCTTGTCCCTACGCTCATTAACAGCTAATTGAAGCTTCGATAGTGTTTCAATTACCATATGGACCATTTGATCGTCCACCATGGCAGCGGTTTCACATAAGGGCTCGAGTTTTTTCATCATTTTGTTGAATCTCTTCACATTCACCGTGTCTCCCGGATCATGGTAGGCCACCTTCACCCTAGTGTGCTTCCGGGGTATGTCCTTCCTCCAACGGTCTACAACGTACTTCTCTGGTAGATCTTCAACCAAGTTTAATCCAAAATCGTAATACAGTGTTTGCAAAGTATGCCACTAGTCTCAAACTTCCTACAGTCACACTGCACCTCCTTTGTCATTTGACAGAAAGTAACATTGTAGGATCTTCGCCTGTTTGTAATGACATCCTCACTCGCACCGGGGGGTACTATCCATACACGATCGACCACCGAATACTGAATAAGCTTTTCAGACAAAACCTTCTCTTCTCGGACGTTGCAATACATCATTCTCGTACACTCCTTTTGAACTTCTTGAAACTTGTTGTCCGTGTATAACTTTTGGAATATTTTTTCGACTTTGAATCCACTAACCAACCTCCTAAGGTACTTCGAGCAACGCGCATCTGCACTCAGTTCATCTCGAACGCGTTGATCCAAGGCCATGCAATACTTTTGAGGAAACTCATGGAGTTTTGTTTTGCGGTTCACATAGCCGTCAAAAAACCGATTGATGCTCTCCACCCTTTGTGTGGTCTTCATACCGGCCCAAAAAAACTCCTTCATGTACGCAGGAACCCACATATGACTGTCTTTGTATAGGCTCTGTAGCCATTCATTGTCCTGCAACTTATACTCAGCAATAAACTCTGCCCATCGGGTTTGGAACTCCTCGGGGTCAAAGCTCTCATATACCAGCTCTTTCAGGGGGGTGAGGAACTTCTGGTAACTACACAACAATGATAGACCAGCAACAACAGGTTAGCTTGTCTTTATTATGGGAATCAGATTATTAATATCAAGACCTTGGAAATTATAAAGCTAGAAGGAGGAATTTCACAACATACCGTGCACACTTGCCAAGTTTCTCATGGATCTTGCTCATGATATGCCATATGCACCAACGATGCACCGTGTTTGGCATGACTTCAGCAAGGGGTCTCCGCATAGCTGCCGCTTGGTTGGTCAATATGGCTTTAGGAGCTCGATTGTTCATGCAAGCTAGCCACTGTCGAAATATCCACGCAAACATATCGCAGTCTTCATGCGAAACAAGAGCACATCCCAACAACAACGATTGCCCATGGTGGTTCACACCAACAAAGTTCGCAAACGGGAGCTCGTACTCATTCGTTAGGTATGTTGCGTCGAAGCAAACCGCATCACCAAAGTCCTCATAAGCTACCCTACTTCTTGCATCCACCCACAACACATCCTTAAGCCTCCCTTCTTCATCCAAACGTTGAGCATGGAAAAACGTTTGGTTCCCGGTTTGCATTTTGTCAAAGTACTCCATCATTGCCACCGAGTCCCCTCCAACCATCTTCAACCGCCTAGCCTTGTACACCTCATGTTGTAAATCTTTTAACGTCAGATCCATGTTACCCTTCCGTTCGGTCGCCATGAAACCGTGTATTTGAGAAACCGGTACACCTTGCTCGTACAAATCTGTCAGCGTCTTCTTCGCTTTGCAGGTCATTTTCTTCATGCGGTACTCCTTAACAAGCTTATAATTTGCCGGATCAATCGCGTGATTATGCTTTAGTTCCACGCTCTTCAACTCCCACAAGCCATCTTCGTTAACTTTAGCATAAACACGGGCCTGACATTCGCACTTTTTCGAAGTCCTCTTCATACCACTTAATTCATCCGCACATACCACCCCATCAACTAAACCACCTAAACCTCCATGGCTCATTGCCTTTGCCCTCTTCTTCGCTTCCCTCCTAGCCCTCATGTCGGGTTTTCCCCAGCACTCACACTTCCACGTGACTTTGATTTTTTTTGGATCCCCCGTCTTAGAATTTACACCTTGAGCCCTTGTCACTCCAAACCCCGTCTGCTCAGCATAGTCCTTGTAGTAGGCTTCAACCTGTTGCCAACACTGGAAAACCATCCCTTCCTTAGGCTCCTCAACAACTACAGCTATTTCGTTGCTGCCAACCACAGTCATGTCATCTGCACAACTACCTGCAACAACTATGTCTTCTATACCCTCCTCCATATGGACGTTACCCCGAGACTTAACTCCACTGCCACAACCACCAGGCTCCTCAACAGCTACTGCTATTTCGTTGCTACCAACCATAGCGTGAGTCGTATCAATTGTTTTCACGGGGGATAAAAACCTAACATCCATGTCAAGTGCACAACTACCTGCATCATCTATGTCTTATGTACCCTCCTCCATATGGACGTTACTCCGAAACTTATCTCCACTGCCACAATCACCAACTACAACCTCACTGCCCCTTATAACGCTTTCTACTGTTTCCATTTGCATAATATCAATCTTCTCCAATCTTCTCCAACAACAACAATTCACCCTTCATAAAGAACACCAACATAATTACTACGATACAAATTAATACAGAACGCCAACATAATTATAATATAAAATTCAACACAAATCAACCAAACACGTTTCACATCACACATTCAACCCAACGCAGAAATTCAACCTACCGACACAAATCAACCAACCAATTGAACAACCAACACAACCAATTTCCACATAAACTAACAAATCAACACATGGATTTTTTTAAAAACATACGAAGACAACACGTTGTTCTCAAAAAGTAAAAAGTTGCAATGTAAACAAAATCATCCGGCCATTTCCAGTAACCTCAACCCCCTTTTTAACAGACGAAAAGGTCCTTAAAATCCTATTGCTTTTAAAATTATTCCGACTTCGGTCCAAATTATGAATTCATTTTCATGAATTGTGGGCGCATGACAACTACAGAACAAAACTGAAGACTGCAACAAGCGACGATAACATAGATCAGAAAAATACCTCGTAATTCGAAGATGTGGGTGGTTTTTTCAATTGGGCTTGTACAATTCGTCGATGTGTGAAGAACAGAGCTAATTCTCCGAACAAGTTCCGTGATTTTTCAACTGGACTTGTACAATTCGGCGATGTGTGAAGAACAGCGCTAATTCTCCAAACAAGCTTCTGGGTATGTCAATATTTTCCCGCCTAAAAGTGAAGAAGTTAACGCCATCCCTCCAAGTCTCCAACAGATTGACGGAAGGATGTCATAGACAAATCCAATAGACAAATCCAAATCAGCAACTGGTCACGTAGACGAATCCAGCTCAGCATGTCAGTAAGTGAAAAACTTCCACTTATTTTCTGAATTGCCACTGTGAGTAACAAGTTTGTTACTCACAGTGAGTAACAGGGAATTAGCCATTTATTATTATTATTATTATTATTGTTATTAATAATGTTCATTTCATTTTACATTACAAATTTAAAGCATGTTCAAGTTTTTCTTAGTTTGTTATTAGTAGCATTTTCTTGAACAATCTTTATTTTTTTATTTCTTTTCTTTGGATAATAATCTTGAACTATTAAGATATATGTGGACTTTCCTAAATTTCTTGACTGAATTTAATTGCTGACATTTGGATTACTAATGATTAATTTCATTTCTATTTTTTTCCCCTAATTTATTGTATCAAACCAATTTCTTTTACTAATTTAATTACTTGGGTTGACAATGTATATAAACTTCATTGGTGTTCTTGTTTTAAATCAATGTTATTCTTAAGATTAGGAGAAACAACTGCAGTAGATGAGTTTTGATTTTTCAGAATTTTTGGCAAAATGAATAGCTTTTTATTTTTTAAATTTTATTTTAGGAAATGAGTTTGATAATGAGCAGTATGTAAAATTGATAGAAATGGAAGTGGAAATTGAGAGACTTGCGCCTGAAATCACATTCTTCTGTGAGGCTGTTTTCACATCAGTGCATCTAAGGGAGATGATCAAGCTACTCGAACAAGTCGGAACAAATAAATTAGGTCCTTCTTATTAGCTTTATTTACCTCATTCTTCGTTTAATAGTCAATCGATCATATCGTCCACATAAACTAATTACCGTGGTTTAATTTCTTCTTGCAATCAAGCAGTTTCGGTGAACATGGAACAGAAACTTGTGACGGCTGTTATTCATAAAATACCTTGGATTTACAAATATGAAGGTGAAAAGGTAATAATGGCTCAATTAGTCTCGAATTAAAGGATGATCAGTATTACTTTACTACAAATTAAAGGGGTTTTATTGAATAATGTTGAAAGTTTGTTCCTTGTTGCATTATTGCATTGGTTGCAGTATTTCGGAACCAGGGGAATGGAACCAGGACAGATGCATCATGGATGGTTCGTGTTGTGACATTTGAAAGCGATGAGGAAAGCATCGTGAGTCGAACCATGTCTTATGTTGTGTTTTCTGTCCGAACCAGCTGATCATGTCATGCTGCGATTCTGCCTCCGAGAACTTGGTGATTTGGTGTTCATCAACAAAGCCGGACTGCTGGCCCCAAACTGTCCTTATGATATAAGGTTTGCTGAAGAGCGTGTTGTTAAACAGGCAGACAGGAAGTATAAGTAAAGCTTTTTGGCTTCGGATTTGGCCGAATTAGTTCTGATGATGTGCAGTTTAGCTACTGATTGACTGTATACTGTTGGGCATGCAGTTGAGCCTCTTGACAATGATAAACCCGTCCAGTGCCTATTGCCAGAAGATTCTATTCTAAATGTAAGTTTTTATGCATATTTGATAATCCCTAGAGTTTCATACTTCTTTGCTTGTAGTCTTTACAATCTCCCTTGTGTTAAATGGCTTCTCTACTAGATCCATGGATTTCATTTCTTGGTGCTTGTAGGATAGTTCTATTGATTGTAACTCATGTTCCAAATTATCAGAAATTATAACTGGTTCAATACTATTAACTGCATTGGATTACAGGTGTGAGAAGGTAATAGGTTGTGGACAATTACATTAAGGGGGCGTTTGGTTGGGGGTTATAAACAAAGGGAAAGGGAATGGGCGGGAATGATTCCCTTTATTGTCGTTTGTTTGCCAAAAAATTTCATTCCCTTTCCCCTTTTTTTTGGGTTTACCCAAAAACATGGTATGGTCATTCCCCACCCCCCTACTCTCTCCTCTCAAGCCTCTCAAGTGAACCCTAACCAGCTCGAAGAAGTTCCGCCGCCGGTGAGTGGTTCCGTCCGACTATACAAAACTGTGACTGTCGACCACCCAGTTGCGACCGTCGCCGGAACTCGCCGCCCCTCACCGGAACGAACCTCGCCGCCCTTCCCTGACCCTTGATTAATCGATGATTCTTCCACCGTTAATGGCGGTAGTAGCGCAGTTTCGTGGGTTTGTAGGTTCTTCCACCGTTAACGGCGGTAGTAGCAGAGTTTTGTGGGTTTTAAGATCTGGGCGGTAGTAGCCGGAGTTTCGTGGGTTTCGTGGGTGGTTTGTAGATCAAGGTGGTTTGTGGCAGTGGCTTGGGTTCTTGGTGGGTTTGGTTTCGTTGGTTTGAATTTGGTTGTGTGTGTCTGAGTTTGGGTTTGAACTCCTCCAAATACCGTCGCCGCCCCTCCAACCACCGCCGTCACCCCTACGAATCATCCAACCTCCTTGAAACCACCCGCCCATATTTTGATTTTTGGGTTAATAATCATCCAACCTTCAGCTTCTGCATCAGAAATATGTTGATTATATCGCATTTCTTTCTTGATTATATAGTATTTGTTGCAATTTTGTTTTATTTAAAGACATTCTTACATTAGGGATTTATATTTTTTTTGCTTATTTTTTATGTTTTCATATTACAGGAAAATACGAAACAAGTTTTCACTTTTTTTTCATTTTACAAGAAAATATGGAACCTTTTTTTTTTTTTTTTTGCTTATTATATAGTAACAGGTTATTATATGAAAAAAATAAAAAGAAATTTAAAAATTCATGGTTTGATTCCTTGGTTTGAACCAAACAGTCACAATGGAAATCAATGAGCAGTTCATTCCGTTTCCTGGACATAACCAAACAACCAGGCCAAATTAAAGGAATTCCATTCCGATTCCCCTATGCGAACTAAACGACCCCTAAGATAGAAGTATCTCATCTTCGTATTTGGGAGGGAAAAGATGATGTTCTCTCCGGTCTCATATATAGCTGGGAGCTTGGGAGGCCCTTTTAGTCTCCATGTCCAAGCAAGTATGTTGAAATTAAATTCTTTTAGATGCATAGTTTAGGTATTGCTACTATAAAATGTACCTAGGTCATTAATATAAAAAATTAGGTGCATTATTAGTGGTCATTTGCATCTTGAGTAGCTAGATTACTACTTTTAACAGGGGAATGTGGATGATCGCCTTGAAAATAACCTCTTGTGCTGGATGAAATCTATGTAGTTGCGAGCAGTATATCTAAAAACCAATGGAAGAGTATATCTAAAAACCAAAGGAAGCATATTGAGTGTTTGTATAGCAAACTGAATGTTAAAATGTCCACTTTAGTAACTTAGAAATCAAATTACCAGATTGTTACAGTGAATATTGACCATTTTAAGTCCTATCACCTTTGGTACCATTAACCCAGGTGTTGATATACTTTATCCCCGTGGTTATTGTCCTAAAAATTGTTGCTCGAGCTAAGAAACTTCTGCCTTCTTTATGGTGGTAGTGTTACTCTTTTTCGCACAATATCAAGATACATGCCTACTGATTAGGGGATTTTGCTCCCACCAATCGGAATGCGCCACGTGGGCCAATCAGGTCCTGCCAAGTGTTCCCCAGTTGGACCTCTCAGGGCTTGCCACGTGGCACACGCTTATTCGTCCACCCTGGACCTATTATGTCATGACACGTGGCATACTCCATGCCTAATGGAGAAGTCGGCCACCTAGGCCCAACTTCCGAGGGAAGCCCAATCAGCCCAAGGTTAACCTAAACCTAGGATTGGCACGTTTCCCGAGGTCATAAATACCTCCCTTAATCCTCATTAAGGGGGATTACGCAGATTACACACATTAAACACTCTCACCTAGAGAGACCCAATCACTTTAATTTCCGCATTAATTACTCCTTAATCAAGTACTAACTTGACCGTCGGAGGCGGATCTCCAATCATCCGGAGCATCCGTTTGTTTTGCAGGTACAGGCGTCCGGTTCCAGTCTCGGAATTGTAACTCTCCCGCAGGACATCAGAAAACCCCGAAACATTTTTGGCGCCGTCTGTGGGGAGAGTACTTCTGAGATGGCATCCACGTTTGTACCGGCTC